CAACCATCGTTCGTCGTCTGAAAAAGCTGGGAAAGGTATGGAAAGTGGCTGGTTGGGTCCCTCACGAACTGTCCGAAAACAAAGCCGAACGTCTCCGAATTTTTACTGATTTGCTGCAACGTAACGAACAAGCTCCGTTTTTGGAGAATCTTGTCACTGGGGATGAGTCATGCTTCTTTTTAAAAATGTCAAAAGAAAGAAGGTTTGCGTTTCGCCAGGTGTTGCACCAAAACGAGTACCGAAAAACGTACACTGTAAAAAGGCAATGTGTGGTGTGTTTGGTGGGACAGAAGCGGAATTATCCATTGGGAAATCATTTCAAATGGGATTTGTTATTGGTGGAATGACGACGATGAGCGTCACGAATGGCGGATTCCAGACAAAAACGGCAAGCGGCAGTTCAACGTGATGTCTATATGGCGCAACTTGACCGCCTTCATGCTGCAATCGAGACGAAAAGGCCGCGCAAAAAAACCATATCGTCTTCCTTCACGACAATGCGCGTCAACATGTTGAGCGCCGTGTTGTCGAAAGTCGAAAGCATCGCCAATAAGGGTTGGGAACTGCTTCCGCATCCGCCATATTCACCCACATAAGCGCCAACGGACTACCATGTCAATCGATCGCTGAAAAATTGGCTGGTACAGAAAGTTTTCGAATATTTGAATAGCTTAGTGGCTGATGTCAAAGCATGGATGCCTCCAAGAACCATGACTTTTTTGCCCGTGGAATCGACCGTCTTCCAAGCAAATGGGAATTAGTTATTGAAGTTGATAGTGAATATGCTCCGGAATAATGATTTAACGATACTATTAGAGAATTTTTGTTGTTTTTTTTTTTAATATAAATAAAATTTTACTTTCAAATAAAGTTTTTTATAAAACGCCTAATAATTATGCACTGTCCCAATAGTAAGCTTTCAAATCAAGTGACAAACTTTAGAATAGGTAACAGTTTTGTATGCTGCTATCGAGCTATAAAATCAAAAGTAATCCAATGAATACTTATATTGCCGAGTTTTTCTTAAAATTATCTTTTCAATGACGTGTCATAATTGGCACTTTCCCTATTTTGCTTGCATTGGTTAGAGTAACGCAATGTAGAGAAATGACGTATGACATTTAATATGTCCGAGCATTTCTTAACATCCATGATATTAATACCCAAAACCCCCATCAAGTTTTTGTTGGGTCACCTTGTATAGAGAGAGAGTATTTATATTAAAGAAAATTAATTAATAAATATTAACCTTTAAACAAAATATAAATTAAATGGATCGATCCCATATTATTATAGAGAAATACTAAATAAATAGTTTTGAAAAAACTATTAAAACCAGTTGTGAAGTTTGAAACGAATAAATTGGTAATGAAATTAATATTTTTGTATTTGATTGTATGTTACTCTTTCCACTTTCTAAAAAAAGATTCCCCATAAAACAAGAAATAGTAAACAGTTTATAATAATTACCTTTATTTGCTAATTATAGCATGTACCAATGACCAAGTCCGATTCTGTTTATTTTCAAATAAACAAATATGGCCGTCGATAGATTCTTTAAAAATTAAATAACTCATCGAAATAAATGTAAGTTTCCTTTATCACCTTCACATTTCGCACTTTTATTATAAATAAAGCTTTCTACAACACATCTTGGCATTTTCAACGTTAATTTCCAAAATTTAAGTCACTAAAATACCAAATTAATTCTCGTTGACACATTAAATTTGGACGAACAATGCTCTGACATGTGATGTCCTCAACTGTGATTGGTGGGTGAGACTAATTTCAAAGTGGGATTATGTGCAGTGTCTTTTGTTCCATCTAAGGTTTGTATAATTTAAGGTTCCAACACGCGTGAAAACCGTAATATTACCGTACAAATCATGCGCTGTATACAATTTTTGGGTAGAGCGCACGATTTGTACGGTAATATTACGGTTTTCGCGCGTGTTGGAACAAACCTATAATAAATCGGGCATTTCGATTTGTTAGAAACTAAGAAAAATAGTTCCTTAAACTCGATTTTTTTTTTCTTGAATATTATGGCTTAATAAGTTAGGAATGTGAAATTTGGTAAATTACCTACATACATTTTAAAAAAGCTAATAATGATTATTTTTTGAACACTCTATTTTTTGAAATTTTTTTATAATAACTTTTTTATGGAATTAGGCATTCCAATGACCTGTCAAACAATAGTTGCAGGTAGGGTTGCCACCTTTTTGAAAAGTGAATAAAGGATATTTCAGAAAATCTTAGATAGTCCAAGTTTATGAATGCGAGTAGGGCGGTTGCTCAGGTTATCACGGTAAACCGCTAAAAATGAACCACAGGCAGTTTTTTTTTTTTTTACTTTTTAATAAATTACCCGGAAGTGAATGAATATGGCTATTATGTTTATTTTTGAGGACATGGGGTCTATATAAAATGTTTAAAATTTTGACTTTAAATTTTTTGAAACGTCAGATATGGCGTTGGAACAATACAACTGAGACACCCGGTATAACCCAAACTTTTTTTGACAGCTGCGCACATGTAGAATGATGAAGTGCGTTCGGAAAAAACAGCACTGGGACAGGGTTTCTGCTTCTGGGAGCGCACGGGTCGCGCCGGTGTTGCTGCGAATAAATTAATCTCAAAAAATATTGAAATATGGTTTTTAAAAAGGACATTTTAAGGTTTAAAAAGTCACAAGGACAATTTGATTGAAAAAAGGACTCTTTTCAAAAAGGACAGGTGGCAACCCTAGCTGCAGGTGGGAAGGTCTCGCATATCTAAAGGGGTTGCGACATATTCTTCCATCTTGGACGCTATTTTTATTCGTAATAGTAGTCGCCAAGCCTGCCAATTTATGAAAAATGTATGAGCGGTTTTTTTTTAATATTTTCATTGTGTTCGACATAAAATATTTAAATTTAATATATTATTCATGATTTCACGGGTTTTAGATAGAATACATCGTATGTCGCAACCCCTTAGATATACCAACCCTTCCACAGTAATTTTGTTTGGTATGCCTAAAAAAGGTCGTAAAGTTAGATCTTATTAAAAGTCGTATCCTGTTTTTCTTTATTGACAAAAATATGCTCAGGTTAACAGCCAGTGGCGGCTTCTGGTTCAATTTACAAGGATATCATAATGGAATTTTAAGTAAAAAGTGTTGTTTTGAGTATAAAATGCAATGTTTTATAAAGTTAAATCATTTTTTTAATAGGATATATGTCATTTGTCAAAAAATCACTTATACAGGGTGTCCCATTAGTGAGTAAATGTTCAATATTTCAATTACTGTTATAGATAAGCAAAAAAGTTTCAAATAAAAGTTACATGAATTTAAAAAAAGTTGTATAATTGTTGTTAAAGTTAAGTTGAAATAAATTGCGATACCTAAAACCTGTGTAACATATTGAACAATTATGCGCTAATAGGACACCCTATATAAAAAGCGCCTTTAGGAGACTACGCAAAAATTTTGAATATATTTTTTCCATCTCAAAAATGCTAAAATTTTTAAAATTCAGTTAGTTTTTTTTTTATTTTTTTAATTACTTGACCCAAATAAACTGAAGGTTTTGGAACAAAAATACTTTTCTTAAAATATGAACTCTTAATTTCAATAATTTTTAGAGAATGTAAACGCTAATATTTTCAATCAGTATAATTTATCTTGTGCTAAATATTTTCGAATTCATTTAGAACCATTTAATAAATCGATTTATAAATATTCAATTGCTTTTAAGTAGATAATATATTAGACATCCATTTTTAGTTCTCTCTTAGAATCTGATTCATGCGGTTCCTAAAATAATTAGGTATGTATATAATATATAATTGTAATATAAAAATCAGAATTTTTATAAAAGTTTAGCAGGCAAAAATATTTAATTTATCTAAAAACAGACAGTTCTTAAAACAATATTATTTCAAGATTTTACGCCGACCTATTTTTAGAAATCAGAACCAACAAATATTAATTAATTACTCTTATACTATTCTGGATAAAGTTCCATCGTTCAATTTCTTGGGATTATTATCACCCTAAATTGGATTTGAAGGGTTTCTTTTATTGTGGTTATTTTTATAAGGGATATGATATTAAAATTGAGTAGCTAAATATTATGCGGTTATAAATCCATCCCCTATCATTTATAATCGCTTTGTATTATCCGAATGCCACAAAAAAAGAAGAAAATTCGAAAAATTCGCGGTAGTAATGATGCGATACTTACCAAGAAGACGTAACGCATAACCCTAAATATGGAGGGTATAGGTAAGGAGAACTATCTCTGTGTTACAAAGTGTCCCTAAAAATTAAAATGGCGGTAATACACCAAAGTATCGTTTTTAAAGAAGGCGCCAAAAGTTTGAGTGTATATTCGCTTAGTGCGAAGTCAATAATTGGTGCATTTTAGGGCGATATTTTGTAATTTTGGCATATCAAATACACGTATACCGAACATAACACGACATTCATAGTCAAAAATTAATAGTTCATACATTTTAATAATTGAATTAATTTATTAATAATTTAATTCATTTACTAAAGGAAAATTATTTTTTTAAATACTGTGACTTGGAAAAACGATAACGTCTGTCGCATGTCTTTTATTTTTTGAACTTTTGCGACCACTTGAACAGCTTTTGATTGCACACATTGTCCCTATTTTTGTATAATGTTTTATTATTACAATACAATTTGAATACTATCAAAATTTCTCTACGATTATAATACATACTTTCAATTACATAGCTCAATCACTTTCCACGGTGTAACCTTTAGGTTATAAAAAAATTAATCAACTAAATAAATGTTAGCAGTTGATATTTCTTACTTTTATTAACAACTTTATTATAAACAAGTATTTTTAAATTGTCTTCTTCCACTCGGCTGACTTCACTAAAAGATCGAAATTCAGATCACAACCCTAATCTCTATAACCTTAAACTATTCGAATTTATGTTTGTCTGTTATTCACTATTTTTATTTATTTTTTCAGAAAACAACGTAATTTAAGATCATCCTGTACACGCCAACAGACTGGAGGGGCACAAGGTCCCTTTGCTATCCACTGCGGATCCCCAAGGCACACGATTGACTCCATCTGGCTCTAGTCCAGATATGGACGATGGAGGAAAACGACAGGCCACCAGGGTGTTCAAGAAGAGCTCCCCAAATGGAAAAATCACGGTTTACTTGGGCAAAAGGGATTTTGTCGATCACATATCGCACGTTGATCCCATAGATGGCGTTGTATTAATTGATCCAGACTATGTGAAGGATAGAAGAGTGTTTGGACATGTACTTGCTGCATTTAGGTACCTATTCGAATTTTCGATGAAGCATTTTGCGACTGCTAATACATATTCGTTTTAGATATGGTAGGGAAGATCTAGACGTTTTAGGTTTAACATTTCGTAAGGACTTGTACTTAGCAGCCGAACAAATCTACCCACAAGACAGTGCGGCGCAAAGTAAAAGACCTCTGACGAGATTACAGGAAAGATTGATTAAAAAGTTGGGATCGAATGCGTTTCCTTTTTATTTCGAATTACCACCACATTGTCCTGCCTCGGTCACACTTCAACCTGCGCCTGGGGACACAGGAAAGCCCTGTGGCATTGATTATGAACTAAAAGCATTTGTAGGCGAGAGCCAAGACGACAAACCCCATAAGAGAAATTCTGTAAGGCTAGCCATTCGAAAAATTATGTACGCACCAAACAAACAAGGTAAACATTACGACTAATTTTTTTATATTAATTAATGATTTAAAATCGTATGAGGTGGTCCATTAGTATGAAAAAGTCCAATATCTATATCTCTATAAATTTTGTGCAGACACTACTTTTTCAATCAGTACAGTCAAAACTTAAATACATAATTTTCTCATTTATTTTTTTTTAAGTGACCGCCCTACATTTTATGTAATCATTCAAAAGTATCCTAAATATACATTTATTTTAGTGAAGTTAATAGTTATGGGAGATTTTAATTTAAAATGAAAAAAAAAAAAGTCAGAAAATAATTTAATTTTAATTGGTTACTTGTTAATATGAAATAATGTTAATAATTAGAATTTAAGCAGATGTAATTTATTATTAAATAATAATAAGTTTTTGACAATTTTTGAGGTTAAATGTTACTTTTCCGAAATGCAGGTTGTTAAAGTTGAAAATCATTAATGGCTATAATTTTTTAAATACTCAGTATAATTTAACTAAATACTGCAAAAGTTTTTAGTGTCATTAGCAAAAAAAATCAGTTAAACTGCGCCAGTGGCGTATGGTTCATCCCTTCTAAATTTTACGCCATTGTCCAAAAACTTATTTGGACTATAATTTTAAATTTTTTGATGTTTTTTTACTTATGTTTTCTTGTTGGAAACTTATAAAGTGATTGGTTTTCGAGATATCGCCCACAAAGGTGAATGCCATTTTTTTAATTTATTTTGATTTCAAGAGTACATGATTTATTTAAGAAAAAATTTAAAATTATAGTCCAAATAAGTTTTTGAACAGTGCCATAAAATTTAGAGAGGATAAAGGTGTTACTTACCCATGCTGTACGCCACTGTCAAAGTTTATTTAACTTATTTTTTGCTTATAGGTGTATCTTATGACAATAAAAACGTCAACCGAATGTAGTAAAATTATACTGAGTAATGAAAATATTATAGCCATAAAATTTTTTGAGAATCTTCAACCTCAACACCGTGTTTTTTGGAAACTAGTAACATTTTACCTAAGCATGTTTCGTTTAATCGTGTATATATCTCTTATAGTGCCGGATATATTGAACCTTTGTACACTAATGGATCACCCTATATAATAGTCCCAAATTATATTATTGATTTGAAAATTTGCTAAATGTTAAATCAATTTTGTTTTAATCAATTTTTCTTGTTAAAGGAGAACAACCGTCCGTCGAAGTGAGCAAAGAATTTATGATGAGTCCTAACAAACTATATTTAGAAGCATCTTTGGATAAGAAGCTGTATCATCATGGTGAGAACATTGCCGTGAACGTACACATAGCGAACAATTCAAACCGCACAGTCAAGAAGATCAAAGTTTCAGTAAGACAATTTGCTGACATTTGTCTTTTTTCAACTGCTCAATATAAATGCACAGTCGCAGAAACAGAAAGTGAGGAAGGGTGCCCTATTGGTCCCGGATTCACTCTTAGCAAAGTATTTACGCTTACTCCTTTACTGGCCAATAACAAAGACAAATGGGGTTTGGCCCTGGATGGTCAATTAAAACATGAAGACACGAATCTTGCATCTAGTACACTTGTAGCTGATATGTCACAACGAGAAAACTTGGGAATCATCGTCCAATACAAAGTTAAGGTAAAATTGTGCCTTGGTGCATTGGGAGGTGACTTAGTGGCCGAATTGCCGTTTATTTTAATGCATCCTAAACCTGAAGAAGAAATTATCCCACCTTCTACTCCTTCTAGACGTGTAAGTGAGGATGTTAGGAATGATGTGCCAGTTGATGCGAATTTGATTCAGTTAGATGCTGAGGAGAGCCATGATGATGACATCATATTCGAAGATTTTGCAAGATTAAGGTTAAAGGGAGGAGAAACGGACGCATGAGAGAGGGTATTGGCAAATACTTGTCCATATGTACCATTACGTACCGATGTGTATGTCACCTGCGAATAGGTATTTTACCTATACAGGGTGATTCAGAAATAAATGTTTCGGCAGATCTTTAGAATTCCCTTTGGTATAGAAAAAACAGAAAATGTGAACATTGAAATCTAAATCTTCTTTTCTATAAGGTACATAATGATTTCAGAATCTACCCCATGTAACCAAAACTATAAAGATAAAATGTAAATTTTTAATTTTTTACTCCAATGAAAGTATACATGTCTCCAATGTTTATTGTTGAATCACCCTTTATAACCAGTGTGTGTGTGCCCTAGTCAGCGGCTGTGCATTGTGACACAACCAGATTGCACTTATTGTATGATTAATTTGTTCCCTTCTTTAATTTTTATCTATGTCCTAATATATCAGTAATTATTTATTAAATTTTAACAATAAATTTTAACATTTCTTCATTGGTTTGGCGTTTTTCTAACCTTAGTCAACATTTTGGATTTTTTTTGTGAATTAATTTTGTGGTCCAGTTTTCAGTTTTTCCTAATAAAGTAAGCCATGTAAGTAGCAATTTTTTTTCATGACAGGAGACAGAGTCCCGCAGTTTCCTTATGGCAAATGTCTCGGTCGAATCTGTTGAATTTTATATATGTTGCAGTTTTTGACCTCCTGATTAAAAGTAACCATAGACAAAACATTCGACTAGTTAAGCTATTGCATAGCTTTTAGCGCGGCGACCGAATCAAGAAAAAAAAAAACGAAACCGTAACGAAAAAAACCTAACACCCCCCACTCCGACCGGCACAGCGGTACGGCGTTAAACAATATTAATTTCTCATTTATTCAATAAAAGAAAATCGAAAAATCAAAAAAAAAATCCGTAACGAAAATAAACCTAACACTCTTCACTCCGACCGGCACAGCGGTGCGGCGTTGAAAGTCGTACATCGTCTAACGTCGTTTCAGTTCGACAGACTTAGGCACGGTGTTTGTGTGTGTGCGACTAGACGTATGCGTGTAGACTATCTGCTAACTGTTCATAACTGATTCTCTCTTAGACACAATTTCGGAAAAATTGAATTTGAAAATGAATAATGATCCACAAGAATCCACAACAAAATATGGGACCACCATTGACGCGGTATTTTCCAGATATTTAGAGGATATCAAGTCTCAAACTTGTTTCTTATTTTAGTTACCATAAACCTATAGTTTCAATGATAAAAATTCCTCAATAACCTACATGTATTGTAAGATAATAAAAATATTTTAAACAATATTAACTTCTCATTTATTCAATAAAAGAAAAAAATTTGTTTTCTTATCGGTCACCACGCTCAAAAAGTGTAACCTGAATTAATATGAAAGAAAAAACTTGAATTAATATCAAAGAAAAAAATACTGCATAAATTAAATAAATAATTATAATTGCACAAGTTGATAAAAAATGCTATGCAATAGCTTTACCGCGGCAGTCCCCGAGTGCCACAAGTATTTTTTTTTGAGATACAGGGTGTTGAACTTGTAACTTCTCATAATTTTCAAGTCCAGAGATAACCCATTTCTACAGATCTCCATATCTATAATTTCTACAGAAATTAAAGAGAAAATGGAGTCCTATGAACTGGATTTGGTGACTTCGCCGTAGTGACCTATATATGCCGGCCTTTTAATTATTGGGCCGTTTATTCCCTCCCCTCCTACACAAAATGTTGAAAAAATTTTACCAAAATATAATTTTTGTTAAATGGCACCTATTGGGGCCATTTTGCCATTATTTTAAAGTCGAGGCATCCTAATAAAAAAAAACGGAAAAATTGGGAGAATTCATAATTTGGCAACCCTGTTTTAATTTGATTATTTATTTTATAGTAGATTTCCGAAAAAGGTGATCCATTAAAAAAAAAACAAAGTTAATAGTGTCCGGTAAAACCGGAAATCGGTTATTCTAATGCTGTTTTGAATATCCACATCCAATGCATTTTTTACATCTCTATTTGAAATGAGATGATCGTTCCATGCCAGAAAGTAAGTGTTCTGTGAACCCAAGTTTATCGATTTATCCTTTGTTTACACATACTTTGATTACTATACGAGGCAAGAGAGAGGTCCAAAACGCCCAACATAGGGCGCGGCCATTTTGAACCCTGTGACACAGTTTACAGCTAAAGAACCAGATCGCTCACTCTGCGTCGGCACTTTTTATCTCAATGTTCCAGTTTATACACTGCGCAACTCAGATAATACAATATATGACAACCGCCTATAATAAAACAGCAGTCTTCTGCGTATCCTGAATTTGTCTCCCTGGAGTGGATGTTATTTTGGAACTTTCAACTGGTCCGAGTGAGCTAACTGATTCTTTAGCAATAAACTGTGACTCCAAAAATAATATTCACTGACACTGACAGCAGCAAGCAAAATATCAGGTGCGTTTTAATCATCCGCTTCTGCCTCCGGAATTGTCGGTTCAGTCGTTCTAACCTGTCAGATTAAAACAAGAAAACCGACAATTCCGAAGCAGAAGCGGATGATTAAAATACACCTATTAAAAATATTACGCCAAGATGTAGGCAACACGTAATAAGGGTTCAAAATGGCGGAGTTTTCTATCTCCTTTTAAAAGGCACTCAGAAGGCTGCGCAGTGCGACCATTCTCCGTATAGTAAAAGAAAATCGAAGTATGTGATAAAAGCGATATTAACGTCGCCCTGGTCTCATTGTCGGAAAAGAATTTGCCATTCAAGCTAAGTAATACGCCTTAATATGTGCAAGTAGGCCATTATTAAAATTGTAACACGTTTCAAAATAGTATATTATGCAACGATCATGTAATGATGGTTATTAATACACGAGCATTAACCGGGATACGAAACGAGCCAAAGGCGAGTTTCGTATGGTTTATGCGAGTGTTTTAATAACCATTACATGAGAGTTGCATACGCTATTTTTTCTACACCCGATAAATAATCAAGACCTATAAATATTCTATTTATATTGGCATTGAACACAATAACAGTAATTACTCGTATTTCTATAAAAAATTCTACAAAATTGTAATTAATGGTATTACCTTGGGTATTGGTATTACCACAGATTTTTGGGGCAAAATATTTTGTACTGCATTTTCTCCTTTCTCCGATATGTGTGGAGGAGTCTTCTATATCGCTGATATCAGACATTTTAATATTATAATTATCGAAGTTTAGCTATCTACGAAAATTTAATACGTTTTGACAACTAAAACAATTACATAGGAATTTAGGACAAACGTCAAACATCATGCTTGATTGAAAAATTGTAGGTTTCTATTGATTAAAAATCTGTATCATAATGAAAAATCTGTATCATAATGGGTATCATTATGAAACGGATTATGGGCATATAAAGTGCATTATTATAATACGGGTGTAGAAAATAGCTATTTATGAAACCAGTTACGAAATGTCTCATTTTAGAGCGAGGTCTTGCAAAATGAACGAGTTAGTTACATAAAACAGCATTTGTAACGTGTTACAATATTTTTTCTAATTATGACTAGATTGTTTATTAAATTGTGTTTTGGTAAGAAATTACCTTAGGCTAGGTAATAAGGAGAGGATACTCATAACGTCGCTGAAAATTTTGTGCCATTTTGACACCAACGATATTTGACCAAAGGCGTAACATGCTGGAAATAAAAAAACGAACTTGTATTTATGTTATTTAGTACTTCATTGATCTTTTTAAGTATAAAGCAAGTTCAAAGCGTAAAATTTAAAATAAATAAGTAACAATCAATAAGATAAGAAAAAATATATTGAAATAAACTAAATGAAATCGTTTTAAAGACATCTTAAATACGTTTGTTCACGATGTTCGTGACGTTTTGAATATCTACGCTAATATCCAAAAGATATTTTAAAGGCGTCTATAGGATAGGACATACTTTGTTACAAAACAAGGCGCCTTTAGGACATCTGATTTTGTACGTCTTGAAGACAATCTGTATTGGACGTGTTTTAAGTCGTCTATTTACTGGTCTACTATATTTAATACTGTTTATTATACATTATATTAAACTGACACAGAGTAAATATTATTTCACAGTGTTGGATAAAATAATTAAAAAATTACTTCAAGTACTTGTTGCTATGAGAAACTATTCCAGTTTGGTCGATTTAAAAATTTCGGTACAGAATACTACGTGTGCTCGATATACTTGTTACGCGTCCTCTATTACCTAGTCTAAGGAAATTATTGACATATAGGCAACCAATATTACTACTTGTATTGTTAGTTGCATATGTTCATTTTATTGGCAGAACGTAATACTAATTATTAATTCTCAATAACTTGTAGTTTGTTTATGTGGCTTAGTATAGTTATTTAGTTTTGAAAAAAAGGTGTTATTTTGTCATGTATTGTGTTTTAATTATTGTGTACCGATTTAGAATGGAAAATAAATACCAAAATAACATTATTGCTAGGTTGTAAGTTTATCCATATACTATTTTTATAAGTCAACCTGTCCTTCTTTGATATAATCTTTTAATACGAATGTATATTATTGATTTTAAAACAAAAAAAGGTTTATTTTTTTGCAACTATGTCAAAATTAGAAAAATATTCTTATTCATGTCACAATTTCAGTGACAAAAGTAACCGCGGTAAGTGTTATACCCCAGTAATATATTATTAATTATACTGGGGTTATACGGAAATCTTAACACTAGGAATAATATATTCAAAATTCTATTTAATAAAATTATTGTTTAGGCAACGTGTGTTTACACATGGAGGAAGGATTATTGTTTACATGTGTTTGGTTTATCTACTTTTACACAGCGCGCGAAAATGAATTTGAATTACGATTATCTGTATAAGCACCGACATCAGAGACTGGGAGAATATCATATCAAAAAAGAATAAGAGATACTTATCTATAGTTCTAACTTCACTACATACCTTTGACATTTTCAAATTGATCGTAGGTTATGTATGATGTTTCTTTTAACATGTTTATTTAAATGAGAATGGGAAGTAGTATTAGTAAAAGTAATCAAATGGAAATTTTAGAAGATATTTAGATTAATAAGAATGTTAATTGCATTTTAAAATTATATATAAAGTGAAAATAATTACCTATAGTAACTTTTCTTTAAAATAAAATAATTCCACAATGGAAAGCCAGTACTTAACTAAGGAACATCTAATTGGATTTGATAATTACAAGGTTAGTTATTTTTAATGATACATTATTTTATAGTAACTCAAATGTTTAATTACATTCCAAAATCAAACTAAATAAGTATCACCATTATAAATTTAAAATTAATTTTCAAAGATCTCTATATTCTAAATTGCGAGTATTATTTGACATAAACTATAACAAAAATAAAAAGTTCAGCACAAATAACTAGGATATTATGTAATTAATATATTTACTATTCATTTAATGCCTGATAAACTGATATTGCACTTACATTACCTTACTGAACAAGAACATTAGTTTTTTTTAATTAATTAGATACTACTATTTTTATGGGTACCACTTACTTAAGATAAAGAAATAACTATAAATTGATATTCAAATGAGCAAGGTATTGTTTACATGAAAAGAATGTTTACTAGATAATACTACAGTTAAATTTTATTTCATGTTATGAACATTGAAAGAATTGTTTATCTAGCTTTTTCATTAAACATTAAATTTTATTGAATAGGTATATCCGAGGGTATATCTAATTGTTTAAAATTTGTGAAATTTACCTATAAATTCATTATTTTTATGATACAACTATAATAGTAAATAGTGTCTATAAAATTATAATACAAAAGGTACAACAATATTATTAATTTCAGTGATATTACAAAAAAAAGAGATTTGAAAATTTTTTCAAATTAAAATTTTAGATTTTATTAAAAATTTGGATTTTTTTTTAATTCTAGTTAGGTTTTAGGTCTAATTGGTTGTGATTTTTAAATTTTAGGTCTTCCACTATTTTTTAAATATAATGATATTATAAAAAAACAAGAGTGAAAGTTTAAAATAAATGCCATTGTACTCATTTATTTGATAAAATATATAAATTCTTTTGAAAGATAATAACTTAATTCATACTTTTTAATTAAACACAGAAACTATAGTCATAAGGAACTGCTGATTAGATAAGAAGGCCAAAGATCCTTGATTGTAAAACTAGGATAGCTGTAGAATCATTTTAACTTTATTATTAAATTAATCTATAATTGTAAAACGTTTCATCTGATAAAATTGAAGTTGTATTATTATTTTAAATTGTTCAAGATTTTTAATCTTGTATAGGGATGTAGTCAAGTTTTGACATTTTACCCTGTTTTGTTACTCCTCCTTTATATACCGGTGTGAAGTTAGCAGCCACTTTCCAGCAGCCCGTTTACCGGAAACACCCGAGTTACCAGTGGCGTCGAAATGTATTTTTCTGTGAAGTTAACGGTGTATTGAAATAAAATTACTACTAAATTTTAAAGAAACAAATAAAAAATGTTTAGAGAAAGGATTGAGGGGTAAACTGAAATAAAAATCCAATAAAAAAATTCATTAAAAAATCAATTTTTCTATAAAGATAACAGAATATTGAAATAAAAATAGTGTCAAATTGTTAAAAACTATAAAACACAACCTAAATTATCAAAATCACTTAGGAAGGGGATGAGGGGGTCAAATTAAATAAAATTCCATTAAAAATATATTTAAAAATTAATTTGCCTATGAAGACAATTGGGTATTGAAATAAAGTTGGTGCCAAATTATTAGAAACTATAAAATACAACCTAAAAAAATTACCAAAATCACTTAGGAAGGGGATGAGGGGGTCAAATTAAATAAAATTCCAATAAAAATCTATTTAAAAATTAATTTGTCTATGAAGACAATTGGGTATTGGAATAAAATTAGTGCCAAATTCTTAGAAACTATAATATACAACCTAAAAAAATTAACAAAATTACTTAGGAAGGGGATGAGGGGGTCAAATTAAATAAAATTTCATTAAAAATCTATTTAAAAATTAATTTTCCTATGAAGACAATTGGGTATTGAAATAAAGTTGGTGCCAAATTATTAGAAACTATAAAATACAACCTAAAAAAATTACCAAAATCACTTAGGAAGGGGATGAGGGGGTCAAATTAAATAAAATTCCAATAAAAATCTATTTAAAAATTAATTTGTCTATGAAGACAATTGGGTATTGGAATATAGTTAGTGCCAAATTATTAGAAACTATAAAATACAACCTAAAAAAATTATAAAAATCACTTAGAAAGGGGATGAGGGGGTCAAATTAAATAAAATTCCATTAAAAATCTATTTAAAAATTAATTTGCCTATGAAGACAATTGGGTATTGAAATAAAGTGAGTGCCAAATTGTTAGAAACTATAATATACAACCTATAAAAATTAACAAAATTACTTGGGAAGGGGATGAGGGGGCCAAATTAAATAAAATTCCATTAAAAATCTATTTAAAAATTAATTTGCCTATGAAGACAATTGGGTATTGAAATAAAGTTAGTGCCAAATTATTAGAAACTATAAAATACAACCTAAAAAAATTATCAAAATCACTTAGAAAGGGGATAAGGGGGTCAAATTAAATAAAATTCCATTAAAAATTAAAAATTTTTAATTATAGTTTATAATAATTTGGCACTAACGTTATTTCATTACCCAATTGTCTTTATAGGCAAATTAATTTTTAAATAGATTTTTAATGGAATTTTATTTAATTTGACCCCTCATCCCCTTTCTAAGTGATTTTGATAATTTTTTTAGATTGTATTTTATAGTTTTTAATAATTTGGCACTAACTTTATTTCAATACCCAATTGTCTTCATAGGCAAATTAATTTTTAAATAGATTTTTAATGGAATTTTATTTAATTTGACCCCCTCATCCCCTTTCTAAGTGATTTTGATAATTTTTTTAGGTTGTATTTTATAGTTTCTAATAATTTGGCACTAACTATATTTCAATACCCAATTGTCTTCATAGGCAAATTAATTTTTAAATAGATTTTTAATGGAATTTTATTTAATTTGACCCCCTCATCCCCTTCCTAAGTAATTTTGTTAATTTTTATAAGTTGTATATTATAGTTTCTAACAATTTGGCACTAACTTTATTTCAATACCCAATTGTCTTCATAGGCAAATTAATTTTTAAATAGATTTTTAATGGAATTTTATTTAATTTGACCCCCTCATCCCCTTCCTAAGTGATTTTGGTAATTTTTTTAGGTTGTATTTTATAGTTTCTAATAATTTGGCACTAACTGTATTTCAATACCCAATTGTCTTCATAGGAAAATTAATTTTTAAATAGATTTTTAATGGAATTATATTTAATTTGACCCCCTCATCCCCTTCCTAAGTAATTTTGTTAATTTTTGTAGGTTGTATATTATAGTTTCTAACAATTTGGCACTCACTTTATTTCAATACCCAATTGTCTTCATAGGCAAATTAATTTTTAAATAGATTTTTAATGGAATTTTATTTAATTTGACCCCCTCATCCCCTTTCTAAGTGATTTTGATAATTTTTTTAGGTTGTATTTTATAGTTTCTAATAATTTGGCACTAACTTTATTTCAATACCCAATTGTCTTCATAGGCAAATTAAATTTTAAATAGATTTTTAATGGAATTTTATTTAATTTGACCCCCTCATCCCCTTCCTAAGTAATTTTGTTAATTTTTATAGGTTGTATATTATAGTTTCTAACAATTTGGCACTAACTTTATTTCAATACCCAATTGTCTTCATAGGCAAATTAATTTTTAAATAGATTTTTAATGGAATTTTATTTAATTTGACCCCCTCATCCCCATTCTAAGTGATTTTGATAATTTTTTTAGGTTGTATTTTATAGTTTCTAATAATTTGGCACTAACTATATTTCAATACCCAATTGTCTTCATAGGCAAATTAATTTTTAAATAGATTTTTAATGGAATTTTATTTAATTTGACCCACTTATCCCCTTTCTAAGTGATTTTAGTAATTTTTTTAGGTTGTATTTTATAGTTTCTAATAATTTGGCTCTAACTTTATTTCAATACCCAATTGTCTTCATAGGCAAATTAATTTTTAAATAGATTTTTAATGGAATTTTATTTAATTTGACCCCCTCATCCCCTTCCCAAGTAATTTTGTTAATTTTTATAGGTTGTATATTATAGTTTCTAACAATTTGGCACTCACTTTATTTCAATACCCAATTGTCTTCATAGGCAAATTAATTTTTAAATAGATTTTTAATGGAATTTTATTTAATTTGACCCCCTCATCCCCTTTCTAAGTGATTTTGATAATTTTTTTAGGTTGTATTTTATAGTTTCTAATAATTTGGCACTAACTTTATTTCAATACCCAATTGTCTTCATAGGCAAATTAAATTTTAAATAGATTTTTAACGGAATTTTATTTAATTTGACCCCCTCATCCCCTTCCTAAGTAATTTTGTTAATTTTTATAGGTTGTATATTATAGTTTCTAACAATTTGGCACTAACTTTATTTCAATACCCAATTGTCTTCATAGGCAAATTAATTTTTAAATAGATTTTTAATGGAATTTTATTTAATTTGACCCCCTCATCCCCAGTCTAAGTGATTTTGATAATTTTTTTAGGTTGTATTTTATAGTTTCTAATAATTTGGCACTAACTATATTTCAATACCCAATTGTCTTCATAGGCAAATTAATTTTTAAATAGATTTTTAATGGAATTTTATTTAATTTGACCCCCTCATCCCCTTCCTAAGTGATTTTGGTAATTTTTTTAGGTTGTATTTTATAGTTTCTAATAATTTGGCACTAACTGTATTTCAATACCCAATTGTCTTCATAGGAAAATTAATTTTTAAATAGATTTTTAATGGAATTATATTTAATTTGACCCCCTCATCCCCTTCCTAAGTAATTTTGTTAATTTTTGTAGGTTGTATATTATAGTTTCTAACAATTTGGCACTCACTTTATTTCAATACCCAATTGTCTTCATAGGCAAATTAATTTTTAAATAGATTTTTAATGGAATTTTATTTAATTTGACCCACTTATCCCCTTTCTAAGTGATTTTGGTAATTTTTTTAGGTTGTATTTTATAGTTTCTAATAATTTGGCTCTAACTTTATTTCAATACCCAATTGTCTTCATAGGCAAATTAATTTTTAAATAGATTTTT